CAAGGCCAGGTTGGATGGAGCTCTGAGCACCCTGGGCTGGTGGAAGATGTCCCTGCTGATGGCAGGGAGGTTGGAACCAGATGAGCTTTATGGTCCCTTCCAACCCAAACCATTCTGTGATTCGATGATTTTCCCAGACTGATACAAGACGCAACCATCGCTACCTGAGAAAAACACTTACAGTTCAATTTCTTTATAAATATGCGGAGGCAGCGTACAGTGCATGAGGTTCTGCCACTCTTCTGCTGTACAAACACTGTGGTAGGACAGCTTCTCCATCGTCACACGGTAAATACACTCTGAATGGCGAATTCTGTGGTACATCTGAAGAAGGGACGTCAGTCATTAGTGCGACATTTTAATAAAGGAAAATCCATTTCTTTCCTGTATTCAAGGGCTTATTCTTAAAAAAAACACGTGCAAAAACGTTAGTGCTTTTGGCTGCTCAACGTCAAACGTTTTAAAAGTGACAGATTATATGAAACTCCGTACTTCTGGAAAACTGAGCCTTCCTTCACATCATCCAGCATCTACTCAGTCGGGAAAGCATCTCGGGCTCGGCCGATTTTTCAGTGCCTCTGAGCTCTCCCAAGAAAAAGAATCCAAGTTCAGGACTTGGAAAGAGCGCTCAGTCCCTTGCGATACGCTAAGAGAAAGAAAACTGACAACGGGGCATGAGTCGCCCTTTGTGCCCTGCATGAATCCAGCTATTGCCTGGTCCAAAGAACTGCTACCTAAGCACAGTAAAGTACAGGAGATGTTTATCCTACCCACGTTACCTGAATAACTGAAAAACGAGCACAGAGAATTACTGAGAGGTCCACACAGCTCCTGCCGATGTGGCACGGGTTGTGAAGAAGCGACGACACACCAGTTTTACTCGTGAAGATCACCCTCTGGAGCAGGATGCCCCGCAGGGTGACATTCACCGGCTAAACTGGCCTTTCGCCTCGCCTCGAGGCGTCTGGAACCAGTTCCAGTGACTGCCAGTATGGCTGGCGGTCCCAGTATGCCGACAGCAGGGCGCTGGTGCGACGGCGTGGTGTGAACGGCAGGCTTCGCCGGCGTGGCATCGTGCCTCACCTCCCATGAACACAACACGTCCTCTGCGCTGCATTTTCACTGCATTTCATGCGTTTTTATACTCCTGTAGTAATGCTCATTGAATTGCTACACTTTCTACAGGAACAGTAATTTTTGTGATGATAAAGGGTTTGAAAACAAAAGTAGCTATTCACCCTTTTCTAGAAGCAGGGATAATTATGAATATATAGCACAGCATATAAATGTATAAATTAATATCTTTGAATATTAAGCAAACAGAGTCAAGAGAAGCCGGACTGAAGAGAATACGTAACATCTCCAGCCCCCAGTTCAATTGGTAAAACACATGATCTAAATTTATAAAAGTAAATAAGAATCACATTTCTCATGGAAAAGAGAAGGCAGAGAGATATCGTTCACATCTCAGACCTCGCTCTCTCGGTTTAGCTACAATTATTTCAGAAAGCGTTAAATGAATCCCTATCGTCCTCTTAAAATACAATTATTCAGCAAAAAATGCAATTATTCCCCTTTCCTCGTCAACGCAACGAGAAAGACTGACGTCTCACTTCAAAAACTGGAACATCAAAATCCTGAAGGGGGGTTCTAAGCCTTCCCACTCTAACCAACAGCTTCCAAAACCGTACGTAACACTTACGTTAGCACAGTGTAAGGCTAAAGCGCAAAAGACCGCAAACATTTTGAAGTTGTTCTCGTCGGTTTTCGAGAAGGCACTTCCACTGATCTTGTTCACCATCTGCACGACGCCGATCACGCTGCCCCGGCTCACGATAGGCATGCACAGGATGTTCCTGGTCGTGTAGCCCGTGTAGAGGTCGACTTCTCTGGGGAGCCAGAAAAGAGAAAGGAGAAAAAAGGAAAATAATTAATGTTATTAACTGATATCTGTTCCTTGATTCTCAGAAATGCTGATGTGCAATGTACTGAATAGTTTTAAAGTAGATGGAATTAGTAATTCGTACCTGCAAGAAGTTCACCTCCAAAGCTCTCACATATTTCCATCTACTCTGTCATATTTAGGGTGAACTTTTCAATTCTTTAATCTCCGTTTGCAAGAGAAAGAATTAATGCTTCCTCCAGCGTGCAGTCAGCTTATTCATAAAATTAGAGAATCCATTCGGGTACTGAGGCACGCTTTTTGTTAGGGAGCTTTTCCTCTCCCCTGAAACTAATCAGATTGCAGGCAGGCTGATCAAGAAAATCAGCAACAGCCTGTCTAACTGGGCGCTGCTCTGTAACAGGAAAAACCACTAAATTTCTCTCCATTATATTTATATTTGATAAGAACAATACTTTTTATTTGTATCAAAAAAAATCGCCTATGCCTAAAGCATTTAATAGATATCCATAGGTTGCCTACTCATCAGAGGCTCACAGCTACATGAATGCATCCTAATATGAAATTTAAGCAGTAAATTGAAGTAACAGGTTGGGTGAGCTACCTTCCCCTCCCACGAATAACCTCCTACCTGTTAAAGCGTGGATCTGCATAGGCGTCAGGGATGTTGAGGACTTCTCCTGTTCTCGCCACTTGACCAGCTATTCCTTTTTCTATAGAAAATCTGCAGAAAATAAAAAGGAGTGTTAGCCCCAATATGAGCCACCTGCAGAAACATTTTTCCAGTGGAGTCTGTCCTGGGCACGGTAATGGATATTTGTTCCCAACCAGCGTCATTTCGATGCTTTTAGGAGAAAATTCTCACAAGACAACAACTGGTAATTATAAAGTAAAAAAGCACACACTAATAGATGCATTCTGAAAACATTTTACATAATAGAACTACATAGTTTAATACAAAAGATGCCATAATACGACCACTTTAGCGACAAATATTCAAAGACTTCAACAACCCTGGGCGTGATGCCTAATAAACACGACATTTGTACAGAACCTGAGACGTGTCTCCCTTTACAAGCTACTGATTTTATCACCGCTTTTACACACTCCTCGTCTCTTTAGACACATGACAGGCAATACAGAGCTCGTTTCTTCAGGGAGGGCAGGCAGATTTGGTAAAATAAAGTTTGGAAAAAGACCAGTGGAAATGTCAAAGCTACACATGACGTGCGCTGGCCACGTGCCGTTCAGCACAGCTGGCTTGTTCCACCTCGCGACACGCAAACACCGCTGTGGTGTGAACCACATCCTTCATCGCCACAAGGAAGAGAAAGACAACAAAGACATTCTGGAGCTGAATCAGGAAAATCTACAAGTCTGTCTCACGAGGAAATAATTCTCAGTTCTGTGACATAAAACTGTTACGACACACAAGCCCAAAAGAACTTGTGGAGAAAAGTAAGTAGAGAGTCCAGCACAGGGCTACGAGGATGATGAGGGGACTGGAGCATCTCCCCTACGAGGAGAGGCTGAGGGAGCTGGGCTTGTTCAGCCTGGAGAAGAGAAGGCTGAGAGGGGACCTTAGAAATGCCTCTAAATATCTGCAGGGTGGGTGTCAGGAGGACGGGGCCAGACTCTTTCCAGTGGTGCCCAGCGACAGGACAAGGGGCAATGGGCACAAACTGAAGCAGAGGAAGCTCCAGCTGAACAGGAGGAAGAACTTCTTCACTCTGAGGGTGATGGAGCACTGGAACAGGCTGCCCAGGGAGGCTGTGGAGTCTCCTTCTCTGGAGATATTCCAACCCCGCCTGGACGCGGTGCTTTGCAGCCTGCTCTGGGTGACCCTGCTTGGGCAGGGGGTTGGGCTGGGTGACCCCCAGAGGTCCCTTCCAGCCCCGACCAGTCTGTGATTCTGTGATTCTCTTTTAGCACACAGCCCCCGTGAAATGGCTCACACCCTTGCACACAAGAGTCAACATTTCGATAATTTCCGTGCAGAAAAGATATAAAGATATAAGCAAGAAAAGCAATTATCAAGAAGGAGTATGAAAGCGTATGTTAAAGCAGGCCACCTTCTTTAATCGACACCACCTCCTTGCTTGTCAGTATGTAAATTGCCCCAATTTTGACTCCTTGCATTCTCACTCACACAATGTAGTAAGTGGGAGAAGTTTGTTTTAAGAAGTCTCAATGACGACATGAATCACATCTCATATTGGCCCTGAACTTTAAAAGTATAAGGAGGAAATGAAAATTCTGAGAAAATCTACGCTGAGCATTTTAACACAATTTTAATGCAGGATGGTTTAGTCATCCACTTCTTTCTTTTTACAAAGTTGCAGGTTTAAAACCTGAGTGTCTTTGAAAATCTCCATCTGTATGTATTAAGGATTCATAATTTTTGAAGAGTGAGAAATGTTATATTTAATTTGATGGTTTGCCTCTTTCATTAAAAAAACACGTGTAAGAATTACACACTTGTGATATGGAGCAGAAATAAACATCAATTTTAGGCAGAGAATCCTACGTATTCATTACAAGCCCAGAAACAGTTTTCATATTCACCACCTCAAGCATACTTCAGAATCACAATTATTGAGAAGTTTGATAAAACTTTCAATTCCCATGAGAAAACGTAAAACTGCGTTACTGGACTTGAAACCTTCCAAACAACGACCAGTCCGTACCAGACTCTCCACGTGCCTAGTCCGTCCGTAAGAAGCACAAACGGCGACTTCCTTGCTCTGGATGTGCTTGAATTGCACAAATTTCAGTTCCTCCTGGGAACTCTCTTGGGAACAAAAGTCCCATACTGGGAGACTACGGATTAGGTGCACCTTTACCTGCACCTTTACCTACCTCAGAACACCTCTGTTTTTTCCCCAACATGATTTCCAAAAGGACCGCCTCCGGAAGACGGCATTTCCAGGAGTGACGTTATAGCTTCAGAGACGTTGTTTCGATGGCACTGCAATGTCATTCCCAGAAGTACTACCTTCTGGAGGCGGGTCCTGGTGGGAATGATATCACAGTATGACAAGTATTGTCAGGGTACCTGCAGATAGGCACAGAGACTGGGTAATCAAAAGCCTGCACAGCCGTAGTTATAACGGAACTTCATTCCTCTGCTAGCTACTCTTACCTGATTTCTTTGGTCTTCTTGAAGACAGGTTTCCCATCGTTTTCTTCTCCAATATCAAAAAGGTCTGAATACAGCTCCTTATTTTTGTGGTCAACCTGGAAGAGTGCACACCTATCTGCATTCACCAGGTTTTTTGCATATATCTATAGACAAAAAACAAAACTAGAGTTAATGATCACGAGTTAGACGATCTTCAGTCATTTATCTGATAACAACGTAAGCCCCTAGCAGATAAAAGTTTTGAGAAATCATCCAGTATGAAAATCTGTTTGAAGGAGCATCCACCATCACAGCAATCTTTTTGGATACAATACAAAACAAAAGTGTGTCTTTTATTCAGTATTTTGTTGTAAATTTGGGCGTTCTTCTCTGAGAAATGTAGGAATACCTTTAGAGGCTTGAATGTTTGCTAAGAGAAAAAAAGGCTTTCCTATTACGCTGGTTTTCAAATGTAAGGAATGTTTTTCAAAATTGTACTTTTCTTTCCCCTATGTTTAGATATTATTCACCTTTACTTGATTTTAAATAGATAGAATCTAACGAGACCTAAGAGCATTTCTGGGTTTTTGTCTCTATCTTCAGTGCAAATATATTGGTATCGAATACCCAGCAAAGACAGACATGACAGAGAGGCTCGTGGTTGTTTCTAAAAAAGATAAATGTGCCTGTAACACATAAAAACGAACAAACGGGCGAGATCAGAAGCATCATTATGGTACAGGAAAAGGCTGCTCCCTCCTGACGTGAGGGACGGTTCTTGAACAACAGCTGTGACTCGGTGGTTCTACATGAGCCAACTAAAGCCCACAAGGCACCACCCACAGTCAAGGAAGCACCACAGTAACACACTTGCACGGTCTCTGTCACACCTCGAACCAGCCAGTTTTATCTCAGCAAAGCTAACTGCCAGCCTGCACCCTGTCCCGGGAACATGGCAGCTCTTCACTGAAATGCTCCTCAGACATACAACGGACCTTCTGCGAACGAGAGTGAAACAGAGCCGAACAAGGATCACTGCGTTGACCTCAGAGGCCATACAGCCAGGTTCAAGAACCTGCTCCATCCAACTCAGATACGTCTCCTATATTTCTTATCTGCTCAGAACGTATAGTAACTGCGTGGTAGAGCACGATCTGAGGTGGATCTCGCTCAGCTCTTTTAAATTCAGCCACAGAAAGACGCTGACTGCATCTTGGAGTGCAATGCATGCAGGTGGCACGTCGAAAGAATTCTCAAGACTTCCATCTGAATGAGTTAACCTCCCCTCTCCCTTCTCTCATCTTTCAAAAACAAAAACAAAACCCTAAAATATTTCATTTCGTATTAATGCAAACAGACAAATTTCAGACCTTGGCAGAAAAAAATCTATGAGACGATAATCGTTAGCTGGGAGACTCGAGTCCCATGTCGTATGCGCTGTGCAACGGGAACTGCACAGAAACCATCCAGCCCAGCTCCACCAAACTTGAGGGCCCTCCCATGCCGACTGAGGCTGCGGCTGGAAGGATTCTGCCGCTGTCTACTCCGTTTGCTCCAGCAGAGCAGCAGCGAGTCAGGGAGTCTGCAAGCTACCAGCTCACTCCTGTGAAATACTTCCCACTTTGAGCATTAACAAGTTTGAAGGTCTCAACCACTCACACTCATAGTCCTTTGCTCAAATTAGAATGAATATACACAGTGCTAAAAAGGACAAGGAGCCCAGCAAATGCAGCTATTCAGAACCTGCATCAGATTTCTTTATAAAATCAACTGCACAGTGATGATCTTACACAATTTAACGTTTGTGTTCTAGTCCATATGACTCGAGAACTTCACTTGGTCATGATTCACGCTTTTCAAAAATGACTGCTTAAACACTACCAATTGAGAGAAATAGTTAATGGGATGAGGAAGCCTTACTTCTCTAAAGCCCCAGTTCCAGTCCAGGCCACTGGCTGAAGGGTAATATCAGCACAAAAGCTACGTTTTACAACATCAACAGGGAGGTCAGGGACCACCTCTTGGGTAGGTCACGTGTAATTACTCAAGCATATTGGTAAGAAAATTTGCAAGGCAAGAAAGCCAATGGGATCTTGGGATGCATTAGGAGGAGTGTGGCCAGCAGGTCGAGGGAGGGTCTACTTCACCTCTACACTGATGACCCACAGAGGTCCCTTCCAACCCCTACTATTCTGTGATTCTGTGATTCTGTGGAGTAAGACAAACACCGCAGAGTATTTTCCATTAGTAATTCAAGTTTCTAAACAAAACTACGTTAATATTATTTGCATTCTAAGTTCGTGGTCTTTGAAGAGTCTAGCTAAGAATATCACTTGGAAGGTTGGAGCAACTATCGGAGTACTGTTAGAGAGTAATTTTCTGAACACACAAGTTGAAATGTGCTATGTGTCACTGACCTGATTAAGGAGAAATTCATTCAGGAGAAAGAACTGCAATATGCAATGACTGTGCTAAAGCTAAAAAGAATAATTCATATATCAAACACTCAAAATGTGCTACGAACAGCCTGTCCACGTGTATCTGTAAACACTATTCAGGAAACAATTCTGAATTCAAAATTGATTCAGAAAATTATAAAATACCGTTCAGAAACAGATTAATTAATGGATTAGTTATTTCAGTGGACTTGGCTTTAGTGGCTGTTGTAAAACATTGACTCTGACACTCTAATTAAGGGTGTAAGTACTTTTGTAAAGAGAAAGGGATGTCATGTCTTGCACACCTCATTCAGGAAATGGAACAGATACTCTAGGAGTAATGTTTAACCTCTAGTCCTTCCTACAGACAACAACTTCTTCAGGAGTGTTTTGTGGCACGTAGTAAATTGAATGTAGGAAAAAGGAATCAATACAACAAGGTGCAATAAAGAGAAGAACAGATGCCTTTCTGTCACAATTCTCAAAATCAATAGTAAAACACAACAGTAACGATTTAGTTCAGAGACGGTCACATTTCACCACTTGCGAAAGCTGTGAAACAAAGTCGATGCAGCAATGAAAACATCAAGAGGACCTTTGCCACCTCCCTCCACACAGAGATGCCCATCCTGTGTGTGTCACGCGTCCACCGTAAGCAGCTCACACATTCCAACGAGGTAACGCCTGACTTCAAGGCAAGGGGAACGAAGGACTTTAATAACTAAGAAACTTAGAAGTGAAAAAGACAACTTACCATTATATGTTCAAGTAGAGAATCTATTGCAACTATATTATCAAAATAGGTTCTGCAGAGAAAGAGAAGTCAGTAAACATTGGCGTTCAGTCAGACACCTCCCCAGCGGCTCTCACGGGCTCTTGCTCCGCAACCGCCCAAGTAGGTGAGGACAAACCTCTGCCCCCTGAAAAGCACTGAGCGGCTTGCTGCAGCACAAGGGAATTCAGAACTGGTCTCAGCTCTGTTCCTTTAAGCCACTATTCTATAATGACAGAATTGTAGCATATTCTCTATATAATACATCGAATTTTCTCTGCAGAAAAAGAAAAGAGTAGCAAACGTTGCCTACCGGGGACTGAATAGGTCCCTGCTGAGCAACGCCAACAAGGCATCAAAATGCTTTGGCACCCTTTACACACTGACAATTTTAAAAGGAGGAGTAAAAAAAGAAAAGCAATCCAAAAGATTAAAAAATTTTTTTTTTTTCCATTGCTGATCTATATTATCTATGTGCTTTCAAAATACCTCATTAGGTTTGTGCATAGGGGACTACGTACTGAGTACTAATGAAAACTATGTATTGTAGATAAATTCTCGCCATGTTATCCAATGTTTAATGCTATTTAAAAGGCAACAATTTATAAAACTCTTAATGAGCCTCCTCCATCAGCCCAGGTGTAGCACGTTGAAGACCCATCTTGTGACTTAGCAACACAGGCATCTCGCTTTCACAGAAAAGCTGTAACTGTCCAAGGACAGGCAAGAACACGGAAAGATGAAGGTCAAACTTCTCAGCAGAAGTAGTCTAAATCTCCCACACGCCAAGTCTTAACAACCCTGGGATTGCAATGCTCCCCGCCATCGTCCCACGGGCTGGAACATCCACCCGGCTCAGCCCTGCCGGGGTCTCCAGGGAAGGCAACGCGCAATGTGCCGGGCTCACGCCGTCCGGGCCCCGCCGTGCCCTTCCTCGGCTGCCGGGGACACGGCGGGCTGGCCGTCTCCTCTCTGAACTGGAAACCCTCTCGCCGTGTAAGAAAAGGTACTGGCCAAACCCAAGAGAAAACTATTTATTTTCTTGCTGGTGCAAGCCTTTACCTACATGAAGTTCGTAAAGTTCTTATGAAATGATACCCCGATTTTGTGGCTCAAAACATAGTGTTTCTTTTTTGTTAAAACTAAACAACTCTAGCAATTGATAATGCTGTACGAGAGGTATTTTCTTACAGAAATACGTCACATATTTGCAGCATTTAGTGTAATTTTTATCTTAAAAATTTAAAATAAGTCCAAAGTTCTTTAAAACAATCTCAGTACTATGTACCAAGAGTAAATTGCCAGTGAATAAATTTGGGCAGATTAATCCAGAGTTCTGTGGTAAACCAGCTCAGTACAGATGTTACCCACATTAAAGCACTCTGGAAAGCACCATAATGGTGCGAGACACGGCAGCAAGTGGGGAGCTCCGGCAAGCGAGCCGTGAGAGTGCCCTTTCGGAGACACACTGTGAACCTAAGCTGAGATTAAAAAAAAAAAGGCCATCCCTGAGGAAAAAAGCTAGGAAAAACATCTGGACGCAACCATCCTGCCCTCCTTGCAAGAGGCAGACCCCTCCCTGCGGTGCGTGACTCCCCATTCCAGCTGGGCTGACTCGGTTGCCTGCATTCCCCGGCGATAGCAGAGGAATCTTGGACGTCCTCTTATCTCCTCAGTCTTGAGAATGGTTCATCAAAACCCACGGAAGCGTTTGTAGCAGCAAACATCCAGGACATCTCGCTTTTCCACAGTACCATCAGCCCTTTGTGATGCACTTGGAAATTCGCCAACCAAGCAGGCTGACAAAACACCGTTAAGCACCTCAGACTGCGATTTATCAAAAGTACAGCTCTGGCTTGTCTTTTAATTTATTGGCTATCTCTATTAATTAAAGATGCTAATAGCAGCAAAAAGGGATAGAGAAGAGCGGATCACCTGAGGCACTAAATTGGCTTGGCAAGTCTAAGCCCAAGCTGTCGTACTCTGTTTCCAATTTAATCTTGCGTTTATTGCGACAAGAAATTAAAGAAAACCTAGCACGTGCAGTCACAGTCTTTGAAAATGAAAACAGAGCCTCCAGAAATGCAAGGGAAGAACAGTCACGTGGCAGCCCTGGGTCTTCAAGGACGGATCCCTGAAGTGCGGATACTCCTGCACGCGTGTATATGTACGCGTCAGAAAAACGGAGGGAGGGCGGGAGGTGAAGCGAGCTAACTAACTTTTCACAAAGTCCTTTTGAACCTTCTAAAACTGCCCATGAAATGAGACAGCAAGCCTACCTGTCAGCTCTCAACAGAGGGCCGTGCTTAACCCTGACAGAAGAGGGGAAAAATAGGCAAAAAACCCACGCAAAAGACCACGAGAGTAACCAAACTCTCTAAGGTTGGAGGTCACGTTTTCTTCTGCGCCACCACCCAAAGAGGGCTTTACCAGGTATACCCCAGTGCCACCCCCCCCACCCGCTCTCATGCCTGGGCTGGAGTTTTCCCCCCACCAAGGTGGGCCTCGGCACCCACGCGTGAGCGATGGCGTAAAGCACAGCAAAATAAACTGGTGAGATTACAGCACGAGTCACACTTACTTGGAGACATCGAGCAAGAAGTCATTCAGTTCGGTCTGCTTGGCAAGGCCCCGGCACACCTGGAAGCACAGATCGCGTTACCATCCGCTCCAGAAGAACACCAAAACCCGAGTCACGCAGTCTACCTGCTTAATTCGTATGAAAAAATTACTGCTACGACCACAGAGAGATGTTTCAGCACCATGTCACATCAAACGCTGGCTTTGTGTGCTAGGCTTCACCCTTAGCTACCCCGCTGCGGAGCTGCAGCCGTCCCACCCTGCTGAAGGCTCTCCAGAAGGTGTCGGCTGTAGCACTTGTCCAGGCTGCCTTGACGCTGCTGCCGAGCGCGGTTATAGAATCACAGAATGGTTTGGGTTGGAAGGGACCTTCAAGATCATCTGGGTCAGAACCACAGAATGGTTTGAAGAGGAACAAAGTCAGCGGGGAGGTTGCTGAGGAAAAGAATCATAGAACAGTAAGGGCTGGAAGGGACCTTAAAGCTCACCTGGTTCCAACCCCCCTGCCATGAGCAGGGACATCTTCCACCAGACCAGGCTGCTCAGAGCTCCATCCAACCTGGCCTTGAACCCTGCCAGGGAGGGGGCAGCCACAGCTTCTCTGGGCAGCCTGGGCCAGGGCCTCACCACCCTCATGGGGAAGAATGTCTTCCTAATATCTCATCTAAATCTGCCCTCTTGTAGTTTAGAGCCGTTCCCCCTTGTCCTGTCACTGCACCCCCTTGTGAAAAGCCCCTCTCCATCCTTCCTGTAGCCCCTCCAGGCACTGGCAGCTGCTATCAGTGCAACGACACCTCCTTCCCCAGACCCTCATCTCTCCCGAGAACGCCCAGCACTGCGTTTGCCTGCTTCCTCGCCACGCTCTGACCACTTCTTTGCAGGCTGCAAAGCAGCACCTAGACACAACCGCAGGCTGACATCAGGCCAGCTGAAGGAAGCTAAGCAGCAGACGGTATCTGCTTAACTGTGGGAGAAATCAGCATGAACATGATCACAAAATATAATATGCTATAGGTATGTATAACGTATATTACATTTTAGAAGCCAAGTGTTCGACGAAGCAAAGCTTTGAGCTGTATTTTTACTTCACCTAAGCACGTACTCGATATCTCACACCCGCATATTACTAGAGTGAGCACTGAGGGCAAAAAAAGAAAGCAAGCCTCTACTGTTTGTACCTTTTACACAATAAAATATCACTCAGAGCCAGTAGTATCTTTCCCCTGGGCAATGCGCGTAGAAATGAATACGCAAATGTGACAAACTACATCCACGAGCCCTACTCTTGGACATAAGTGGGTCCCCAGGCACAACTTCACAGAATCACAGAATGTTCGGGGTTGGAAGGGACCTCTGTGGGTCATCTAGTCCAACCCTCCCACCAAAGCAGGGTCACCTACAGGGGACCTTGTCCAGGCAGGTGCCAATTTCTTGGCACACCCTCCTTGAGCCTGGCAGGTACGGCCCAACACCGGCCCAAAACTCTCGCATCCCTCTCCGGCAAAACCTCGGCGAGGGCAAACCTTCTGCTCAGCGGAGGGAGAGGAACGGAAGGGACCAACGGATGGGCTTCAACTCAGCTGTCCATGGCCTGTTTTGTTGGCTGTGAAAGACTTCTCGGTTAAAGAGGGAGTCGGTAAAAAGTGAAGCTGCAACTGCACGCAACTGCAGTGCTACCAGCGTGCAATGGTCTGTGCTAATTGTGTCTAATTGTGCCAGCCAGGGCCAAGGAGCATCCGAAACACAGCCGACGACTTCCAGCGCTGAGGTGGTGAATCTCAGAGCTTACGAAAGCAAAGCAGCAGCTCTGCGCGAGTCTTCTGCTGAGCGTCTGAAAGACACCTTGGAAAAAGGAATGTCAGGAACTTCTTCACGCTGCCATTCAGCGTGACCTGGACAGGCTGGAGAGTTGGGCTCTGCAATGTACCGTATTTTAAAGATGTCCACAGAGCATCTTACGAAAGGAAGTGAAAGTTTATTGGCACTTGGTTTGTTTTGTCAGTTCTTCTCCTCTGCTATGTGAGAAATGTGCAAGGGCTTTTGTGGCTGCAGTTCTTCAGAATTTCAGCTTAAGTATCAGCTTCGTTGTCTACTGTTCAGCAGAAGCACTCTGTTTACTCAGACAGTAATCCATCCAATAATCATTTGTGCCACAGAGACTCCCTGTCCCCTTTTTCACCATTCTCATAGAACAGAGCATCCTCCTACCTGTCACACAGGGCCTTCACCTGGAGCTCATCATTTTCCTGTGACAATTTAGGCTGAATTAAGGAGACGAGATTGGAAAAGTAGAGGAGTTATTAAAAAATAATCTGCAAGAGCTAGATACAAATAGGATGTGAGATGGAGAGAGAGGTCCAAGTTAAGGTTGGCCAGAATGTGAAATCCTGCTCCATGGTAAAATCAGGAAAATGGGAGCTGTGGTCCAGAAAAGCTGACATTTTCTCTAATTTTTATTCTGTAAGAAATCATTTTTTTGTCGGAAGGCATTTCACAGAATCACAGAATCACAGAATAGTAGGGGTTGGAAGGGACCTCTGTGGGTCATCTAGTCCAACCCTCCTGCCGAAGCAGGGTCACCTACAGCAGGCTGCACATTCTGTCATTCTGTGATTCTGTGATTCCCCCTGTGAGCTGGCAGAAGAACCTCTTTCAGCATCTCCTGAGAGCTGGCAAAGCACGTTTCGTTCCGGTGTTGCTGTCTTTGATTACCTGAAGCCACAAAGCCCATCAGCGAAGCTGCCGGGGGTTGCCAGCACAGCTTGCGCTGTGTGGAGCTTCGTCAGGCCCCGGACTGGGGACCGCGGGCAGCACCCTCAGCGGGGGCACCCGCAGCACCACGAGGCTGCTAGCAAGGATGGCCGAACACAGGCGGGGCCAGCAACACCCGGTCACCTCAAACCGAATACCAAAGCAGGAGGAATGCAACTAGCAGCTGCCTTCTTCCAAGGAACAACCTTCCAAGTTGTTCTAATTCTGCTTTAACAATTATTTATCTCCTTTGCTAAAGCTTCTTTTTCCTTTAGTAAAACCAGCATTTGCTCAGCTATTTGATCCACGGTTGGAAGTGAGGAAAACGAGCTCAATGAACGCCAAAAACATCAGCGTGTTTTTCTGAGGTTCAGGGAAGCGGCTTGAATCAACGCTTCAGCAGCGACCACCACTCGAATTCCACCACAATCCGTGTTCCTGCTCACCCAGTCCTGGCAGCAGGGTTCCACCACGAAGAAACGCCACGCCGCCCACACTTACCTGTACTTGATGTATTGCTACTGAAGCCCATGCAAGATTCGCCGTTGCAACCTGAAACGACAGAGCAGAAACCAAGCCTGAAGACACCTCGAGAGCCGCACGGCCGCTGCCTGCAGATGTTTCAGTTTTAGTGAGGTGCATTCCCTCGCCAGGGAACAACCCTCATTTTTTTTTTCTGTAGCAGAAAAGTGCTCACGGACACCTCCCAGCAGCGGGACTGGGCACCCTCTGCTCAGAAACACACCACCCAAATCTCTCCTCACGTCTCGCCGGGGCTGTCCCTCCCCAGCCCCAGCTCTGCCCAGCTGCGAGCAGGACGGCTGCCATCACCTCCCTTCTGGTGGCAGCAGCACTGGACCCGGTCCCTCAGCTCAAGACCGGTGGTTTTAAGGCTGATGGTTTCCAGGCAAGGTTTCAGCCGGACGTCACGTCAGCTGCAGCTCACTCCGGTGTGCTACCACGCGTCATCTCCTGTCCTTGAAACCCAGGAGCTTTACAGGAACACAGAGGGCAGCAGGACAAGAGGTCTGCTGCTGCACAGCCTCCCAAGGTACTTTTTAAAATTTTTTTTCAAAACAGAACACAATGTGCACATTTTATAAAAGCTGCTAATGGCAGCCACAGGCTTTCTGAAAGCTGAAAATGAAAGGAATGCTTTAGAACACTCAGAAAGTGACCTTAAAAATCTTTTTAATTTACTAATACAATACTTTCATTTAGCAGCCAGTCTTCTCCAAGTAGAACATTCGTGAACTTCAGTCACAGAAGGTATTTCATCTAGCATAAAAGATTCGTATTTGCACAGAACAACGCGTGTCTGAGACCCACCTGAGCTGTAGATCGGTTCATGGAACAGGACAATTTTAAAACATCAACACCTTGTGTGTGAGCAGCGGCGCTCACGCAGCCTGGCTTCACGTGAATGCCCGTTCTTCGTTCTGGGAGCAGGGACGCTGGCACCACCACACCGATCCAGCTCCCCACCGTGGCCTCCATGGACAAGGGAGGTTCTCCTTCCCCTCTACACTGCCCTGGTGAGGCCTCATCTGGAGTACTGTGTCCAGTTCTGGGCTCCCCAGTTCAAGAAGGATGAAGAGCTACTGGAGAGAGTCCAGCGGAGGGCTACGAGGATGGTGAGGGGACTGGAGCATCTCCCCTACGAGGAGAGGTTGAGGGAACTGGGCTTGTTCAGCCTGAAGAAGAGAAGGCTGCGAGGGGACCTTATAAATGCCTACAAATATCTGCAGGGTGGGGGTCAGGAGGATGGGGCCAAGCTCTTTTCAGTGGTGCCCAGTGACAGGACAAGGGGCAATGGGCACAAACTGAGGCACAGGAAGTTCCGTCTGAACATGAGGAGGAACTTCTTCCCTCTGAGGGTGACGGAGCACTGGAACAGGCTGCCCAGGGAGGTTGTGGAGTCTCCTTCTCTGGAGATATTCAAGCCCCGCCTGGACAAGGTCCTGTGCAGCCTGCTGTAGGTGACCCTGCTTCGGCGGGGGGGTTGGACTAGATGACCCATAGAGGTCCCTTCCAACCCCTACTATTCTGTGATTCTGTGATTCTGTGATTCTCTGAAAGGACACCAGGAGCAACACTGAGATGGAAGCAGCATTGACTGCCCAACTCCTGGATGAGCATCACCGCTCTGCCGGGCTCCTTGGGCTACGCTGCCTCGGGAGGGCTGGTTGTAATATCTCTTCCCTGTGAGTTTTCTGTTCTTTTCACAAGAAAAACTCCTGCTCAGCACAGCTACGCTGCTCCGCGGCGTATCGAGACAACGGACCCGGCTAGAGCTCACCCCGTTGTGCGCCGGCCTCTGTGCTCAGGTCCCTGTCCCCGGGAAGGCACAGGAGAAATGGGCGGTGCGTTCCTCACAACGCGAGAGCCGTCTCCATGAGCAGATGGGCCGTAACTCCAGCGGAGTAAGTCCAGCACAGGGCTACAAGGATGGTGAGGGGACTGGAGCATCTCCCCTACGAGGAGAGGTTGAGGGAACTGGGCTTGTTCAGCCTGAGGAAGAGAAGGCTGCGAGGGGACCTTATAAATGCCTACAAATATCTGAAGGGTGGGTGTCAGGAGGATGGGGCCAAGCTCTTTTCAGTGGTGCCCAGTGACAGGACAAGGGGCAATGGGCACAAACTGAGGCACAGGAAGTTCCGTCTGAACATGAGGAAGAACTTCTTCCCTCTGAGGGTGACGGAGCACTGGCCCAGGCTGCCCAGGGAGGTTGTGGAGTCTCCTTCTCTGGAGATATTCAAGACCCGCCTGGACAAGGTGCTGTGCAGCCTGCTCTGGGTGACCCTGCTTGGGCAGGGGGGTTGGACTAGATGACCCACAGAGGTCCCTTCCAACCCCTGCCATTCTGTGATTCTGTGATTCTGTGATTCTGTAACAAGGATCCTCACCCAGCCAGGAGAGCCAAGGTGCACTTCTGACACCTTTCATACAGCCGCAGCCCTTGAGGCCATCCACCCATTTTCAAATTTGTTTGTAGAACCATAGGATCATTTGGGTGGGAAGGGATCTTTAGAGGCCATCCAGCCCAACCCCCCTGCAGCGAGCAGGGACATCTTCAACCAGATCAGGGTGCTCAGAGCTCCGTCCAACCCTGCCTGGAATGTTTCCAGGGATGGGGCATCGACCACCTCGCTGGGCAACCTGTGCTCGTGCTTCACCACCCTCAGTGTAGAAGATTTCTTCCTTAGACCCAGTCTAAATCCACCCTCCTTTCGTTTAAAACCATCACCCCCTGTCCTATCGCAACGCTGAAAAGCCTGTCCCCATCTTTCTTACAAGCCTCCTTTAAGCACTGGAAGGCTGCTCTGAGGTCTCCCTGGAGCCTTCAAGACTAAGAGCTCATAACTGCACTGACAAAGGGACAGGTATGGACAGCGTAGCTACACAGGCCTTATATACATATACAGTAAACCATGCAGTGTGGAGAACAGTTATGGAAATGGGAAGTTGGTTATGAATGGGAATATCTGGACGGGGAAGGACCAGAAGGGAAAAAAAAAAAAAGCAGGAGAGAGCTTTACGAACGGCACCTAGATCAGCAGGTCACCCAGGTACCAGCGCATCTACACACAGTTTCTAAGGACATCTAGGTCAGGAGTGAAAGGATAATGAATAAATCTTGAAGGGTCACAGAGATGGGACAGGCTAGAGGGCCAGAGGACGTCAGCTCCCAAAGGCTGAAGAAAAGCCTGACCCCGAACCAGCACATGGTGGTCAACCTCAGAGAGAAGCCAGGAGACAGAAGGACTCCACAGCTGGCACCCCTCGCCCTCCAGGTCATTGCAAGGTGTCCTGGAGAGACCACCCGGGTACCGCAGCTCCTGGGAACGCCACGGGGCACGCACACCTTGGTGCCCGGGAGCGCGCGGAGGCAACAGCGTGGATGCAAACACCCGCAAGCTCTTTCCCCTTACTTTTGTTTTAAAATAAATTTCTTTAAAAACACATCTTTCAAATTCTTTTTTTAAAATCTTTTAAATTTCTTTTAAAATAAATCACTTTCCCCTCCCGTGAGGCACTGAGACTTACTACACTGTTGCTACAACGTTGCTACATCATGTTTTGCACTGGGGCTCATTCATGGGAAGCCACACCAAAAAAGTAAGCAAACAAAAAAGAAATATCTTCCCATACTGAAAAATTAAGCGCTACTGGAAAGTTAAAATTGAGACTCTGGATAACTCAGCAGCCTCCTTTTTATATAAAATTACTTTGGTTTTTGACATTTGACACTTACACTTCATTCACCCGCTCAGCATTCAGTTCTCTAACAACTCCGTACTGAGTTTATAATCAATAAAGAAATCTTGAACCTCTTTTTCCACAGAAGAAAAAGGTACAATTCTTGATGTATCCCCCTATCAGTATATCATATAAGTATCCCCATATCATGTAAGTATCCCCATATCATGTAAGTATCCCCATATCATATAAGTATCCCCATATCATATAAGTAGCCCCATATCATATAAGTAGCCCCATATGATATAAGTAGCCCCATATGATATAAGTAGCCCCATATCATATAAGTATCCCCATATCATATAAGTATCCCCATATCATATAAGTAGCCCCATATCATATAAGTAGCCCCGTATGATGTAAGTAGCCCCATATGATATAAGTAGCCCCATATCATATAAGTATCCCCATATCATATAAGTATCCTCATATCATATAAGTATCCCCATATCATATAAGTATCCTCATATCATATAAGTATCCCCATATCATATAAGTATCCTCATATCATATAAGTATCCCCATATCATATAAGTATCCTCATATCATATAAGTATCCCCATATCATATAAGTATCCCCATATCATATAAGTATCCCCATATCATATAAGTATCCTCATATCATATAAGTAGCCCCACATCATATAAGTATCCCCACATCATATAAGTATCCCCATACTTCTCTATGTAAATTTTACCTCCTGTGACTGAAAACACAAACCACCACCTATTTTTTTCAATCAGCATCATTCGATGAGAACAAAACCCAAGCAGGAAGAGGCACGCGGCGCCCGGGCGGAGCGCGAGGAGCACGGGGCGGGCGTGCGGGCTCACCTCCTGGTGACTCAGGCGGAAGGCTTCCTTGCCCCAGTGACGGTAAAGCTCCAGGATCCCGATCAGGTCACCGATCGCAGTGACGATCGGCAAGCACAGAACAGACTGGATGCGAGTCCCCGATTCCAGGCCGGTACCTTTGGGAAATCGCTCGTCCTGGAAAATGTAAACGTATTCTGATAAAACGTAAATATCACAGCAGGGACAGGAAAGGCGTACTGACATTTTCCTCCCTCTCCTGGCGGATCCGATCTGCAGGAAAATGATAAATATCACTAAAACTTCTATCTCACCAGAAGTTGCACACAGTATCAAGACATCTACTAGAAAAAATGCAATAAAAAAAAGTCTCCCTGTTAATTCACACACACAAATAACCTTACTGATGTAAAGGCAGAACCAGCTGTGCCCTTAGACCCAGCTCTGGGTTCGTTTTCATAACGCATTTCCTCCAATCCCACAGGCAGCAAAACCAACACTTCATTGCTAATGCCAGTCCAGATGATGAAGAAAAACCCCAAACTAGCAGCACTACCCCACCACCGCTTTCCCCCCCCAAAAAAAAAACCCAAAGCATTTGGAATCATGCAGTGATCTGCTCAGATGTCCGCGCTACCGAGCAGACAGCAGTGCCTGCAGAGAACAAAAACCAACACCTGAGGCTAAGGCTTGAGGTTCTCCAGGGTTATGACCCTCAACCAACTCCCGAGGAGGAAATTGGGTTCCAAAAAAATGATGTGTGAGGGTAAGAACCTTTTTCCTTCCCTTGCTTACACACCCTCAATAAACCAGTGCGAAAGTTATAGGAACAAGCATTAAAATAACCCTACCAGCTGCTATAAAGGCCCAAATTCATAACTTTTAATCTACACAGGGAATGTCCCAGGCTTTACAGCTTCAGCTCCCCGTGTAGGAAGGCTCGTGAAGCCCTGAGAAGCCGCCCGGGCGCCCTCTCCCTGCGTGACTACGAGGAGAGTCAACCCGACCACCTGGGAACAAATGACAGCCAGAAAGAGTGGGAAGCACTTTGCAACAGGAGCCTCCTGCTTGCACTTTTTAATTCTGTCCTCCCCCCAAAAAAGGGGCTGGCAGTCACAGAATCACAGAATCACAGAATGGTCGGGGTTGGCAGGGACCTCTGTGGGTCACCCAGCCCAAACCCTGCCCAAGCAGGGTGCACAGGACCTTGTCCAGGTGGGTCTGGAATATCTCCAGAGAAGGAGACTCCACAGCCTCCCTGGGCAGCCTGGGCCAGGGCTCCGTCACCCTCAGAGGGAAGAAGTTCTTCCTCCTGTTCAGCTGGAGCTTCCTCTGCTTCAGTTTGTGCCCGTTGCCCCTTGTCCTGTCACTGGGCACCACTGGAAAGAGTCTGGCCCCATCCTCCTGACACCCACCCTGCAGATATTTATATTTATTATATTTATTCTAGTCCACCTCCAAGTGCTTCCTTTCCGGGCTGAGATACTCCTAAAATCCTAAAATCCCTGGAGGCAAACCACGCCAGCGGGACGAGCCTCCCTGCTCGGCCAACCATCCACTGACTCTGAACCGACAGAAGAGTTCAAAACTCCTCCCCACATCTCATTATGAATGTAAAATCAAAACATGCAGCCCTCATGGACCAGGATACCATGATATTCACTGGAAATTGCCAGGAACAATTTAAGCCCTAAACGTGACTGAGAAATCCTAACCACATCTAAAATCTTTACAGCCCAGGGTGCGCAGAAAGTCCCGTCACTACCGAGAAAGCGGCTTTTGGGTTTGTGGCTCTGTTGAAGTCCACTCACATGAGGCATTTGGGTCTTTTGTTTATAGCCTGGGTTTGCCCAATAAAGGCCACCCATTTTTTAACAAATACTTTTTTAAAATAGAGACAGCGATGTCCAATTTTGGCCACAGCATCCACAGATTGTTGTTCTGGACAGAGCTCAGAAGAACAGCAAACACTGAAAAGAGAATGCAGACTTCCTGGGTGTTCTCGTACCCAGCTGAACGTGAAGCGTTCTCCTCAAGTACACAGATGCGACTAGAGAAAGTTTTTCAAAAAATTAAAAAAGCCAGACGTGCAGAGTGCCAGGAGTCCAAAGTTTTTCAAAAATTTAAAAAGGCCAGACACGCAGAGTGCCAGGAGTCCTCAGAACATCACCTTGGGATGTTCTGAACCCTTTTACAGACAAAAGCCTGTCTTCTGATACCGGTAACATCAGCGTGTCTTCGATGTAGGTCTACTGATGCTATTGGCATTCCAGCTTTATGCTAGTGTAAGCAGAGATCAAAATCCTGTCCAACAACCTGAGTTCTGACTGCCATTCTTGTCAGTCTGAGCCAGGTATTGTCATTAAATCACACTGTGGTTGGCTGTGTGGAAGTCGTCTTGTCTGGGATCAGCGCACCAAGGATGTCCAGACCAGGACAGGAGTTGTGAGTGACAGGTTTTGTTTCTCTCTAAATGACTTTAGTATCACCACTTTCCTTATCTGACAACAATGACAACAAAATGTTAAAAGACAAAAAATCTCTAAATTGTAATTTAAAAATAAATGAGGTATTCTGAAATTATTCCACCATGCTAACCCAAACTTGTCAACAAATTCCCTCAGTAGCAAGATAGATATAAATTCTATCACTATACATTCAGCTCAATAAACATTTCAGCATCAAAACCTTCAAACTAAGAACATGCTAGAAACATCTCATTGAAAAGAGAAAGCTTTTTACCCCCAGAATATCTTCTACTAACAACGTTTTTCTGGATCTGGCTACGTAAGCGGACACGGTGGTGCCATGTGCGATGGGCCCTGCCGGGATGAGCCGTGGTTGTCCCTCCTTGGCTCCTGGTGGCGTAAATACACACAGACTCTGGTCAGGAGGAAAAAAGAGACAAAAACAGGAATGCAGTTAGCAAGTGGGGTTACCTTTACAGCGTTACGGCGCTGCCTACGCAGTGCGAAGGACTGAATAAAGCAGGTGACGCAGCGAAACGCAGTTTTTGTGCCTTTGACAATGAAAAGTATTTGGATGAACTCCGCTTAACTGCTTGGAAATATTATGAACTCCCACTCTGCAGCCTCCAGGCAGACAGGGGGTAACTTCTGCCGAAGTCGGTCCCTGCTCGTGCCGGCGCGGGGCTGGCTTTACCCCGAACACGCAGAACACCGCACACGGGCTCACCAGTTTCTGCCTTCTAAGAGATTTGTTTTTTTTTTTCTAGGATGTACTCTTTTCTTTCAATAGAAAATACTCAAAAAGTAGAGGTAGTATTTAAATTTCTTGTTTATCTCATCCCAAGGAAGGAATTTCAAAGTTCTCCTCATACTACTTTTCCTGAAACCCAGGTGACTGCACTCATCCCCTGCACTAGGAGCAGCATCCATCTTACTCGCTGCCTGCTTAAAACCGCCTCCTTCGTTGAAAAGTCAGGTACCACAACGCTCACATCGTGAAACCCCTCCAGAAACATCTGATAATCCTTCTAAAACAAAAATATTAAACACGTCATCACCAGTGGAATGAAGGCGATTGCAAATATTGTTTTGCAAAAAGAAAATTAAACGCTCATATAAGGAGGTGAAACCTGCAAAGCCTTCTGTGCACCAAGCACTCCCCGAACCTAAACTTTCATTCACTGTTGGGTTGAAAATACACTTTATGGAGAGTGCTGGAAAACAATGTCCTGATGACAGTCTCTCTAAAATTTTCTTGTATTTTTCCGCTCAGGCAACCCAAAAAGCAGCAGTCCGTAAGTGACAACCGATTTTTGAAGTCAGAAAACAGAATCACAGAATGGTCGGGGTTGGCAGGGACCTCTGTGGGTCACCCAGTCCAACCCCCTGCCCAAGCAGGGTCACCCAGAGCAGGCTGCACAGGACCTTGTCCAGCCAGGGCTGGAATATCTCCAGAGAAGGAGACTCCACAGCCCCTCTGGGCAGCCTGGGCCAGGGCTCCATCAAAACCACAAACCCCCCCCGTGCCTCCAACACAATTAGCAGGAACTTCACAAGCAAAACGTTTCACCTCCTGTTTCATTCCTCTGCCTTCCCCCCGTCACACCCATCAGTTCACGTGTCCGCTCGCGCTCCAGACCCAGAGGCTCTCAGAGCTGCCAAGCACTTGCCCCTCTCGCCCTGCTCCGCTCGGCAGAGCCGTTACGCGTTAAACACGCGGGGAACCGGGGCACCCGCACAGCACCCGACCTGGCCAGGGTCCCACCGAGCCCTGGAACGCCAGGGAGCAGAGCTGCTCTCCCAGGACCTCACCTCAACGCCTACCCTCTCGAGCCATCCCTCCCAACACATTCTTCGTATTAACACAACTCAAGCCCCACCTCAGACCCCCAGCTTCCACTGGCAAATTATTTATCACGATCAACGCTCCAGTTTAGTTCACTGATAAATCTGTAAGGCCAGGAGTACTCAGAGAGCGCTCCTGCAGTAGGGAAGTCTACCACTAAATAGCTACACGATTTTCAATTATGAACTGAAACCACATGAATTAAGATGAAATATTTTAAGCAAATATCCTTGCAAGGAACAGATTTTTTTTTTTTTTTTAATTTGCATACGTAATACCAGCGATAGATGGCTGTGCCACCGCACAACGTCTCACTCACGTTCCTGCTAAGAACAGCCACACGCTGGGCCACTGCTCTGCACCGATCCGTTTTACCGTCAGACTTTGCTGTCCTTAAGGCTGTGACAGGGCTCAACCACCTGGAATTCCACAGCGTCAACGGCAAAAACCCTGGATTCGCAAACTGGCTAAGCTGGAGCAGCAGCCCAACAAGCCCTTGTTCAGGTTCAACAAGGGCAAGTGCAGGGTCCTGCACCTGGGGAGGAACAACCCCAGGCACCAGTACAGGCTTGGGGTGGACCTGCTGGAGAGCAGCTCTGTGGAGAGGGACCTGGGTGTCCTGGTGGACGACAGGGTGACCATGAG